GGGACTCGGCGGACGCGCGCGAGACGGCAACGTCACAATGCATATTTTATTTTTGTAGCAAGATATTTTGCAAAATAATAATTCGTTTTTTTTTGCAGGCGACAATTACTGAAGCTAGCACAGGCTCCAGAGATAAGTTACTCCAAAAGCACAACGCTTACTAAGGGTACTAGCAACGAATCCATTACTTGTTATAAATCAGTGGGTTTAATACACAATAAGATGGATTCGGAAAATAGTACCCAAGTAATGCAGTGCCTGGAGCCAACGTCAAATAAAGGTATGTTTGATGGGAATATTAACAATTGTGATGATAACAATAATTTTGTTATCGATAATAAAGCCCTTCTAGACGCTTCTTGTATTCAAGAAAGTTTGCCTGAAGGCCGTCGCATTGTCGACATTGGTTTTCTGTGGAATGAAATCCACAGAACCTTTGATAATCATATGCAAGGAATAGAGTGCCAATTTAAAGATTGGAAACTCATAAATTCTCATCGCTGTGGGTTAATGACTCAGTTGTTCTTCAAATGCCAAATGTGCAAATAGGAAGCCAACATCTGGTCAGAACCCACAGAGCCGGAAACAATGGACACTAATACGGCTGCTATAGCAGGAACTGTTACAAAGGGAATTGGTTATGCCCAGCTGGAAAAGTTGTGTGCAGCCATAAATGTTCCTTGCATGTCCGAGCCAACCTATATCAAATATAGGGAAAATTTAGTCGATGACTTTAAATAAACAGCCATGGAAGAGATGAAAATGGCTGGCGAAGTTGAGTCGTAGCGGATGGTAGTTGGATGAAGAGATTGTATGGCAATGCCTACGACTCTCTTTCCGGTATTGGAGCCATAATTGGTTACCGCACCGGAAAGATTCTTTTCGTCGGTATCCGCAATAAATTTTGCACGCTATGTGATGTAGCAAAGCAGAAAGGTATCGAACCAAGAGCTCACAAATGCTACAAAAATTTTGATCGCAATGCAAGCTTTACAAGCATGGAGAGCGATGCCATCGTAGAAGGTTTTAAATGTAGCCTCGAAATGCATGGACTGATATATAAAACAGTTGTTGCTGATGGTGACAGTAGCGTATATCAGGCCATTGTTGATAACAAACCATACCGTGAACATATGGTGACTGTCAAAAAAATTGAATGCACCAATCATTTGCTTCGCAACTTGTGCAAAAAGCTGAAAGGTGCGGCAGAGATGACTCAGCCAAAAATGCGTAGACAGCGTGGCTTTGTATAGGTGCAAAATGTTGTAAAAACAACAGTTTAAAAATACGAAAAGAAGTAATAGAGTCAGCCGCTCGACAAAGAAAAGAAAGGCAACCTCTACATTGTCTGGCTATGGAATTGCAAAAAGATATTTTGAATATTTCTAGTCATATTTTTAGCGAACATAAGCGATGTGAAGCACGCGGTATATGCAAAGAGAATTGCAATGAGATAAAGAAAAATTATGTACCTTTTCTAAAATTACATGGTTTCTATCCAAAAATAGAGACTGCTGTCATGTATCTCAGCGCTTATTCCGAGAGCTTATTGTTAAATTTAACAAATAACCCTGCAGAATCGTTCAATTCGATAATCTGCAAAGAAATTGGCGGAAAACGTATTAATTTTGGTAAACGAGGCTCCTACGATGCTAGAATTGCAGGTGCAGTTGTTCAATATAATACGCAACAAGTACTTACACAATTACATCAAAGCATGTGTAAGACTGTTCCGCCTATTGTCGAGAATCTGGAAAAGCAACGACAAATAAAAGTTGCAAAAACCAGAGAATCTCGAGAAGCGCAGGGAAGACAAAGAAAATTCAAACGAGAATCAGCAACAGATCGTTATTACGGTCCGCAGTCGCAAAGGCCGGATCACCCATCCGATATATTCGAGCAACTGCGACTAAGTCATACAGAAAAGTTGTTCGAAAATGGAAAAGATTGGCAAACAATTGAATTCGAGACCAGAAATCAATATAAGTCCGAATTATGGTTATCATTGAGACGTTGAATGTTGACAGCATCCAATTTTGGAACTGTATGTCGCATGAGACCGACAACATCTTGCGCATCGACTGTAAAAAAACATTTTATATCCTCCGTCTATTGATACCGCAGCCATGAAATATGGTCGCGATAATGAAAATGTAGCGAGGAAAGAATTGGCCATGAAATTAAATAAAGCAATAAAACTTTGCGGATTGTTCATTGATAATGAAAATCCATTCTTGGGTGTTTCCCCTGACGGACTTATTGAAGAAAATGGTCTTGTGGAAATTAAATGTCCTCTGTCGGCTGAGCATTTGACAGCAGAAGAAGCCATAAAGACATTGCCTTTTTTAAAAGGTATCTTTGATAAAAAAGATCCACATAAAATGAATCGGAATCACCGATATTTTTATCAAGTTCAAGGCCAATTGAACATAACAGAGCGAGAATATTGCATTTTTGCTGTTTGGACGCCAAAAAGCATAAAAATATTGCACATTAGTACAGACAATGAGTTCTGGAAAAATGAAATGCTGCCTTTTCTAACACGTTTCTACTACGAATGCATGCTTCCAGAAATCGTGGATAGTCGGCATAATAAACATATGCCAATCAGAGATCCGTTATATATAACAGAAGCTAAAGAAAAAGCAGCTAAAGAAATAATTAGCCGAAAAAATATTCGACAAAATATAATAGAAAATGAAGATTTTCTGGAGAAAAGAAAGCGATTTAAATCTAATGTTTTGCCTATAGAAGCAACAAATACTGCTATTGCTGCTGCTATGGATATAGAGCAAGATGATGATTGTATCATAGTTAGTTACTCAAATAACAAACATGATATTACGAAAGACGATATGGAGAGACATGAGAAAATTTTAAATTTGATTGCTTCTCTGTCTATCGTGAAGGATAATATCTTGCCTATAGATAGCAAAATAAGCGACGAATCATTAGATCGATTTTTACGCGTTGTAAGAGAAACTTCCGACTTTAAAACGCAAAGTGTCCAATATCTGGAGTTCCCTCATATGATTGCAGCCAGTGATAGTAACAAAAGCTTACAAATCATTGGAGGGAATTGTAGTGATCACTGGCGATGTATTTTCTTTAATGGCACCAAACTTTACGTAGATGATAGCCTACCCGGCTGTACATACGAAAAGTTGGTAGCTAAGGAGAAAAACTATATACATCTACGTTATCCTACAATAAAGCAAGGTAACATTATTTTTGAAAAAGTTCAAACACAACCTGATGGCATAAGTTGTGGGATTTATGCTGCAGCTTTTGCCACAACTATAGCTTTAGGAGGCAATCTTTGTGAACAAAAATACTCCAAGAATGTAAAATGCATGAGAGAACACTTCTTTAAAATCATAGAAGGTAATATAAAATGCATAGAACACTTCTTTAAAATCATAGAAGGTAATAAACTGCTGCATTTTCCAATGTGTTTAGGCCCTCCCCCTCTCAAAAAATAATGTAGAAGCTAGTTTCCCGGGGGGGAGGTCCCAAGTAACCGCAAAGATCTAACCCGGTGGGGTTTTAGTCAGTAGGAATCTGACATAACTCTGGGTCTTTCCTCGAGAACCCAGGGTATCCATGAGGATTTCCCCATCGTGACTAAAAAAAAAAAAGATTATCACTGCATTCAAAAAATGTATCGCGATACTTGTAAAATCATAACTCGATTGCAAATCATAATCGGAGAGACGACAAAAATATATTGGTTGCGTTCTCACGGGAATGGACGATGGAGGGGTCCATTCTATATTTACAATGTTTAGAATATTGTAAAAATATATTATTCTGTTGCGATCGGGACAAACAATATATTGTAAATCTATTACATATATATAAACATTTATCTATACAATCAAAAACATTTATATATATAATATAATATATTTAAATTATATATATATGTATACATTGTTGTACATATAACCATTTTTATATATTATAATACATATATATGTATTGTGCCATTGTATGTATGTATATATGTATGTTGCGACGAATTTTCCTACCGACCTGAGGCTGAGCGATAAACGCGGCTGCCGACTCGTTCTCTCCGTCGCGCGGGTGTAAATTGCGCCGACGAACAGGAGCTAATTCGCCGAACGGGAGATGCGGAAGGGTCGTTGGCAAAAACGGGAAAACGGAGAAAAAGATCCACGCGCCAGGTGGGAACGGGATGTTAGGAGTTCCGCGCGTACCGTGACGAGATCCGAGAGATAATCGCGAGAATCGAACTTGGGCGCCAGATACGATCTTTCACGTATCAATTCGCGAAACACAAAATAAGCGCGAAATAAACGCGAAAGAAATTGCCGGAAGTATTATCGATAATTTTAGTTACGCTTAGATGAGGGCGCTAACCCGTCGGAGTTCGGCCATCACTTTAGGATCCCCTTAAGCCCGAATCACACTAGCGTCTCGCGGCTGCGATTGCGATTGCCTCAGCCAATCAGAAAGCACCAATTGCAAGTATGATTGGAGCGTAGCAAATTATAATTACAAACGCAATCGCAAACGCAGCCGCGAGCCGCTAGTGTGATTCGGGCTTTAAGCGTCGAGCGTTTGCGCAGAAAATTGCGCAGAATCTAATTTACAATCTATCTCGTTTAAATTCTGCGCATTTTTATGCGCAGACGCTTGACGCTTAACGCTACCATGTAAAGGTACCTTAAAGCAGAAAGCAGAAATGCAGAAGCCAATCAGAACTCGCGTTGAAAATAAGCAATACATTCTGCTTTTTTAGCGCGAGTTCTGATCGGCCTCTGCTTTCTCGTTTTCTGCCTTTCTGCCAAGGTGTGAATCCGGCCTTAGCCAAGGTTATGTCGCAAGACTAACCTGAGGTTGGTCAACTGTGGATGCTTATATTGTAGATAACGGTCTGCGTACACCTGTGACGCGCGACGGGGGAGCGTTTGAGGAGGGGGGGGACTCCCCCGACGTTGCCCAACTCTTACCACGTGGAGGTGGGGACGGCGCATGAGAAGTTAAAAAAAGCCTTCTCTTTCAGAGTCGCATTTACTCACAGATTCATACACACAGATTCATACAGATACTCATACGAAATATATACATTATTCACAGTCTTCGTTTGTGCCGTCTCCTCACCGGCCTCCTTCTAATAGGCGACTCGGACGAGTTGCTAATAGGTTCTTCATTCAGCATTATCGCGTTTCTCTCTCGCACGCGAAGGCTCCTTCTTAATTCGCGCGGATCCTCGACGACGGAAACGTGAGTAGCGTCGCTCGGGACGCACGATGATGTTGAACTATCCTGACCGTCGATCGTCGATGAGGCGACTGTGTCGAACAGCCGTCGACCACGTCTCTTTCGGGACGGGGCGGGTGTTTCGGGCGCCGCGAAGCCACCTTCGACTCCACAGTCGGACAGCAGTGGCGGCGATGGAGAGGCAGTCGGCGGAGGAGGAGGAGAAACGGCGGACGATGGACCCCCAACGGCTGCGCTGTTGTAACCGGAAGACTTTGTGATTGGGCGGCGCGAGGGCATGACAATCGCGCCCGAATCACTATCCGGCTGCGGCGATCGGATTGGTTCTCGTCGTCGTTGTCGTCTGGGCGGCCTAGACGAGCGGTCGTCATCGCGTGTAGCGCGTGATCGACGATTCCGATCGATTTCGCGAAACCTCTGCCTAATATAGCGAGGTTCGAGCTGGACGCCGCTGGACAAAGTGACAAAGGCTCCTACTTTTACCGTCAACCACGTAATATCCTTACGTTTAGGATAAACGAGGACACTCGGCACGACGTGTACGCTCCTCTTAATTAAAGCCGTTGCTTTTTCAAAAAAAGTTGTTGCGTTACACACTTGGACGCACGTCCGGACGATTCTGTTATAAGTATGTCGCAGATCCAAGATAAGCGCGCGTGCGACATAATCCGCTTGCACGGTTCCTCTGATTACAAATTGAACATCCGATTTTGCGTACCGCCTGTATTCCTGCAGGAAATGCGCCAACGTAAATACCCGTTCGTATCGCTGGTAACAGCGACGAGCCAGATCGAGTACGTCCGAACAGAGGGCGGCTTTATTGGTTAAGAAGGCGTTAGTGTACGCCCACGTGCCGTACGCCGCTATTACGAAGCGAAGGGCTCTCGTATCCTCGTCATCGCTTTCTTCGTCGTCCGTGTCGTCGTCCGGTAGTGCGTTTATCACGCACCAGACCGTTCTGATAGCTCTTACCATCCGGACTGGTATATCCGCGCGGTATAACGGATATAGGAAATCGTCGCTGTCGTCGTATAATGGACGCAGTTGAACGATTTCGTCAACGACGGATTTCCCCTCCGTGTCGTTCGTCATCATGTGGCGTACGGTTTCGTAATTATAGGCCGTGGATCGACCGTGTACGAAGTACATGATTCGAAATTTGGCGCGTATAACACGCCTTACCGCGGAGCACGATGACCATTGCGCCCTTTCCGAGAAGTATAAATCGTCGCGGATGACGACGGTGAGCAGGTTGAGTTCGCGTTTAATACATTTATCAAAATATTTTCGCCAATTTTCTAAGCGAAATTTTAGCTGGCGAGCGAGCATCTCGTCGGTCATAATCGCGTTGATTTCGACGTCGAAGACGCGATAACGTTGAATGTATCGCAACATATCGATGTTGGCGGGAAGACGACGATAATCAAACGTCAAAACCTATTCGACGCGTAGTCGATGTCGTTGCCGAACATAATTACGGCAATAAAAAATCAAATCTTTGGTGTACTGCCGCGTCTGGCTTCTAATTTGGGCAAGCTCTCTGTCGGTAGAGCTGCGGAAGCCGCGGCATACGTAGTAACAAGCGAGGAGGCCAAAGTTTTGGGGACGGGCCATTTTAGCCGCCGAACTGTACGCTTGTACGTATGTAACAATGTTATTCGCAACGGGCGGCGAAGCCTGTCGATGGAAATAACCATAATTGGATAGGAAACCTATCCTATACTTCTCTGTTTTACCGACGATGTTAACGGCACCGGTAAATGTAGACAGGAGAGAGTCCTCGTCCCGACCCATCAATTTAACCAGTAAAACGTTGTTGTCCCATTCGTTATCCTCGTCTTCTTTTCGGACGTTGATACCGAGCTCGTCGGCCCGATGTATCTGTATCACATCGATGTGCGCATGATTGACGCGACACCATAATCGAAGACAGATGCGAGCGAGATTTTTGTCTATTCTTAGACCGTGCTGGCACATGTAAAATCTGACACACGATATTCCGCATATCAGGCGCAAATCGACGTTCCTTAGAGTCTCCGTTACGAGGGCGGCAAACTTTTGGTAGTCCTCCTGTATGACGGGGTAGACGCGATCCACGTCATAATCTATATACGCTATGCCCGTCTTGGCCGTACGGCTGTTCTTGGACAGTTTGCGGGCGGAGCAGGCGACTACGTGGCGTACAAATGCGTTGGCGATTGCCCTGAGGCGGCCTTCCTCGCCAAACGTGCTTCGTATTGGTATGTCCTTGAAGAACGGACTCGAGAAATCGGCCTGAAAAAGAGCGAACATTTGGCGGTCGTCGACGTTGGCGATTGCGAACTCGTACCATAAAGAGTTCCTATTTATTCGTTCGCCTAGACAACGGAATCTTGGCTGTCGCGTGAGACGAAACTCGCGTCTTCTCTTTAAATATGCGGTGATCTTCACGTTTTTGCAAACTGATATCGGTACTGGCTTGGTCCAAGTCTTGCACGATGTTGTGCATATAAACGGTTCCATGGTACAACATACGACCGCCATGGAGTCGATGTTTCCTTGAAGGACTACGTCGTCGCCGGATTCATAATTCAGTTGCACGTAACGTGGATTCAGAAATTGTATATCCGTCATCGTGTTCTCGTTACAGTTTTCTTCCTCGCTCTCTAGGCGGAAAGGTATTTGGACGGCGTCGTTCTCGGTGGCACTCGACATTTCGAGACCGGCAATGTACGAATACCGGTGTGGAAACTAACACCTGAAACGTACGATACTCGACAGCACTGGCTCAGACCGACAATGTACGTATATTCGACGGCACTGATACCGACAACGCGTACGGATATTCGTACGGACACGCGACAAGACTTTACACTTTCAACGTACGATATACGACGCTACAGTCATAAACAATGTACTATATTCGACGACACTGCCGCTGACAATGTATAATCGACGGCACTGATACCGACAACGCGTACGGATATTCGTACGGACACGCGACAAGACTTTACACTTTCAACGAACGATATACGACGCTACAGTCATAAACAATGTATTATATTCGACGAGACTGACGCTGACAATGTTTAATCGACGGCACTGATACCGACAATGTACGGATGCTCGTACGGACACGCGACGAGACTTTACACTTTCAACGTACGATATACGACGCTACAGTCATAAACAATGTACTATATTCGACGGCACTGATGCTGACAATTTACGTATAATCAACGGCACTGATACCGACAATGTACGGATGCTC